TGCAGACGCTAGGGGAGGATCCTTCCGTGTGTCTTCCAGCTTCTGGTGTTTGCTGGCTTCCTTGGCGATCCTTGGCCTGTAGACACTCCACTCCAATCCTCCGTCTTCATGTGGCCTTCTCACTGTGTCTTTTCATGTCATCTTCCCTCTGTGTGTATCTGCCTCTCTGTCCAAATTTCTCCTTTTTATAAGGACACCAGTCGTATGGGATCAGGGCCACCCTATTGACCTCATGCTAACTTGATGACCTCTGTAATGACCTGATTTCCTGATGCGGCCACATTCTAAGGTATTGGGGGTGGGGGGGTCAGGACCCCAACATCTTTATTGTGGGGAGACACAGTTCAATTCATAACATACACCAAGCCCCCTGCCAGCTCTAAAGTAAATTGTCTTTGATCTCACTATGGCATTTCAACATAGGTCTTGTCCCTCTTTTTTTTTTTTAAGTCTTTATTTTAAAATAGCTAGATTTACAGAAGAGTTGCCGAGATAGTACAGTGAGGGGGGTTGGTTGCAGGAACCCCGTGGATACCAAAATCCGCGATGCTCAAGTTCCTTATGTAAAATGGCACAGTGCAGTCGGCCCCGTATCTGGGGACGTGGAACCCACGGACCGTACTAAGAATTCCCCGTATACCCTCCACCCAGCATCCCCCAATGCGAATATGTGACACGAACAAGGTACATTTATCAAAACTACGAAAGGGACAGTGGTACAGTCCTATTAGCTAAACCACAGACTTCCTTTGGATTTTCCCAGTTTCCCACTAATGTCCTTTTTCTGGCCCAAGATCTGATCCAGGTTCCTGCTCTGCATTTCGTCCTCATGTCCCCTTGGTCTCCACTCTGGGATAATGTCTCAGTCTTCCTCGATTTTCCTGACCCTGACCCTTTTGAAGAGGACTGGTCAGGGATTCTGCAGAATGTCTTGCAATTTGGGTGTGTCTGATACTTTCTCAGGAGGACGCTGGGCTTGTGGATTTGGGGGAAGAGTCCCACAGAGGTGAGGGGGTGCCCTTCCCATCATGATATATCGGGAGCACCCAACACCCTGACTGGAGGTGTTTATGTCACTACAGGTGGTGTTGACCTTGCCCCCTTGCTCAGGGAGGTGTCAGCCGTGTCTCCACCGTTGAGTTGCTATCTTTCCTGTCCCTACTCTGTGCTTTAGAAGCAGGTCACCATCCAGCCTACTGTCAAGGGGAGGGGAGTCCAGCTACACCTCCTGGAGGGGGAATATCAAAGAATTTGTGGACACAAGTTAAACTGCCACAATGATTAGTAAATATTTGGGGGAAATGCTTCGAGGCTATGCAAATTTCCTGTCTCTCCTCAGTTTTGCCAACTGATTTAATGTTCATGCAAGGGTCTAGCCTGCAGTAATTAGCACCGTGGTATCTAATAGTGATTTTCAACTTCCCTCAGTCCTTCTACGTTTATTAATTGGAATTCTGTAAGGAACATTTGTCCCTCCTCCCTCCTTTATTTATTTATTCGGTCATTTATTTATATCCGTGTGGATGCGTGGTTATTTATTTTATTCTTCGGGCTATAATCTAGTACTAGCGTTATTTATTTTGCCTCTCAAATTGTTCCAGCTTTGGCTGTCGGAAACTCTTTCTTTACTTAAAAATGTTCTGGGCTCATCTTGTATATTTCCTGCCACAGCTCTGGATGCAGCCATTCCTCCAGGGAGAAATGGCTCTTTTTTCTGTTTTCCTTTGTCTGTGCTGCATGCGCAGCATGTGGGATCCCAGTTCCCCGACCAGGGATCGAACCCGCGCTGCCTGTACTGGAAGCACGGAGTCTTAACCACCAGACAGCCAGGGAAGTCCTGAGAAATGGCTCCATTTATTGGAGAATGGTGTTAGACACCAAGACCTTGGTGCTAGTGGGCTCATTGCTCTGGGCTGTCATTGCTTCTTGGCCTTCTCAGCTGCCGTCTCCAAGTCCAAACCCTCTCCATTGCCCCGACCCACAAGGCCCTGTACAGCCGGCCCTGCCAGCCTCTCAGCCGTCCTCCTCCTTCCTGTTGCTCCACTCTGTCCCTGCCCAACACTCTCCAGCCGCATGGGTCTTCTGTCCTTCGGACACTCTGAGTTTGTTCCCACCTCAGGGCCTTTGCACTCCCAGTGCCTTCTGCCAGGAGTGCATCTCCCTCTGGATCGCCCCACAGCTGGGTCCTCCTGGTGATCGAGATATCAGCTCGCAGCCGTCTCTGAGAGACTTTTCTGCACCCCTGAATCTAAAATAGTTACACCCTCCCCTCCCCCAGTCACTATCGCACCCTCCATGTAAGTTCCTGACTCCAGGATTATCTGGCTTATTGTCAGTGTGGCCCCTCTAGGCGTCACCTCCATGAGGGCCGGGGACTTTGTCTTGTTCACCTCTATGTCCCCAGGGCCCAAGACAGTGCCCAGCGCATAGTAGATGCTCAGTAAATGTTTGCTGAATGACTGAGGAGATGAAAGCACAATGCTACTGCTCCCATTATTCGGATGAGGAAACTGAGGCTGAGACCATCTGAGATTCGTTCAGAGACACCTTGCTGTGGAATGAGGGGTTGTGGTCTCAGCCTGTGTGACTGAGGACCCCCAGCGCCCGTCCTGCTGGGGAGGGGGAGGCTGATGTTAAGTATCGAGACCTCGAGGCGGGAGGCCTGGCCGATGGGAGGCGAGACCAGAATGACCCAGGGAGCCGAGGGTCCCCTCACTGACCCTCCTGGAAGTGGGCGTGGCCTTTCCTTGTCAGGAGATGGGTGGAGACAGGGCTGAGCTTGGCTGGGGTCGAGGGACCGTGCAGGCCCATCAGCATCTCCGACTTGAGACCAGGTAGTGGGGATGCCGACCTCCTGCTGGAAGTCACTGCGAGGCCTGGGGACCCTGGTCCACCCGGGGATGAGGTGTGCTGGCAGACCCCGACAGCCGCTGGGAGGTGGGTCTCTGAGGCAGTGGTGTCTGTTTGCGGGGGATGAGGGAGCAGAGAGTGACTCCCCAGGGGGTCCCCAGGGCAGGGTGATTTCAGGCCCTTCAGCCCCTGGGAGGCGTGTGTTGGGGGAGCTTCCTCGTCCATCAGGGCCTGGAGTGTCCTCCTCTTTGTCTTTTTCCTGAGGTTGGGGTCCTGGTGGCCCACAGGTACCATACCTCCTGGAGGCTGGATGGGGCGGGGCTCTTGGTCATCAGTTTGTAAGCTTTCGGTAAGAGTTTGGATGAGGCTGAGAATGTGAGCAAGTTGGGGGACCCCTCTCCAGAAAAGTTGATCTTGCTGTACACCCGGCTTGCGGGCAAGCAAGTTCACGGGCCTGGTGGGCTCTCCGGGGCCTGTCTGTGACCCCCACGGGCCCCAGCTGCTACACGCTGCTGTGTGTTGGAAGTTGTGGGGAAAGGGCCGAGGGGAAGGGGGTGCTTGGGGGTGAGTCTTCCGTCCTCTTCCGTATCGGTCCACATCTCTGAGTGTCCCTCTGCCTCCTTCTGGGCCTCCATCCCCCTTAATTTGTTTTTTATTTTATTGACGTATAGTTGGTTTACGACATTGTATTAATTACTGCTCTACAGCAAAGTGATTCAGTTATACATATATGTACATTCTTTTTTTTTTTTTTTTTTGGGGTACGTGG